TGAATTTAGAATAGTACGGTAGTCTAGAGTATGTACACTTTTGTTGCATACTTTTGAGGCGTTACATACAGATGAATAGATCTGATATATATCATCTGTCAGATTTATATATATTATTCTTCAAAGGCGCGTATACGTATTCTCTAAAATAATTTAAAAATCAAAATAAAAATTAGTGAAAAAGGCCCTTGAAGTAGAAGAAAAATGCCGTAATTAAATATCTACTTCGCCCGACTAAAAACTACGATTTTTTATTATTTGCAAATGAAAAAATCCCTTGAACCTGATATCGTTACTAAAGTGAATACCAATTATACCTAAACACATATATATATATATGTATATATATATGTATATATATATATATTGCAATTAAATTTAAGCGAAAATATTATAGTCAAAGCAGGTCGATCCTACGCCATGACGCCTAATATAGTTTGAGATTTATTTTGGTGATAAAATGCTAAAGAGATTACACCATATTTCTATGGAAAGGCATACTCCTTATCAGAACCTTTACATAGGATTGGTCTCAAGTCGGAACGAACAACATGCTCCTAATTTAGTAAATTAATTTCTCTTATTATTCTTCGCTTATTTTTTTCATAATTTTTTGCCTATATTTCGTGAGAAGCTTTTTAATAGACGGCTTCCACAAAATAGATCTACTAAGTACGAATTCGATCATTTTTTATCAGGCAATTATTAAGAACCGGTTTTCATGCCAAAATATTAAAAATTACACTTTTCTGTCACATACTTATATAAAACACGATTGTATGGGTGGAAGATTTTTGAAAAAATTTGCCCATCGGTCAATTCGTTTTCAAGAGGGTTCGTCCTTCAACCCAAACGATTCAGAAAATAATAATAGAATCGATCGATATAATAAAGGGTACATTTATCCTAAATTAGTTTAAGTGCTACATACATCCCCGCCCAAAGTTAAAAAAAAACCGCTTACTACTTCCGAAAAGGAAGTATTCTTTTGTCCACAATAAGAAGCTACTACACCGTTCATTCTTCGGCAAAATCTGAATGTACCGAGATGAATACAAATGCATTCTTATGAGGTCATTTTAACATTCGTTAATGTAATATGCAATTTGCATCATTAGCTCATTTCTACAATGAGTTTTGCATAGGATTTCGGGCAAGAAAAGCAAAAAAGTTATATACTAGGCGTTTTAATAAAACTTGATTACTCTCGAACCCAAGAAAATGTATTCAACAATTTTACATTTGGCGGTCGATTGCGAACGCTTCGAACGCGATGAGCCACACAGAATGATTTTACTTCGGATCTGTATGCAAGATATGCTTAAAAATCACTATTATAATATATATTTTAATCAATATGCATATATCCATATCTCAAGGGATTAAGAATAAGTCGCAAAAACCGAAAAAGTAACAAACAAACTCACTAATATATTTAAAAACAATATGATTTATAAAAACAATTTGCACAACAATAGATAATTATAGAATTCACAAGACCAACAGTCTGTTCTAATGCCAATGAAATGCTCTTAGCTTTTTGACATTTTAACAAACAAAGTAAAAACATGTTTTTTTTTTCGTTCTGTATAAAGAAATTGCCAAAAATAACGAACACGTGCCAATCACAAGCAGAAAAAATCGATAAATTTTCACAACTGTATACTTACATATCTTTATAAAAAATTCAGAAGGCACGTAAGGCCAAAAATGTATATGTATTTAGGTGTGTGTGTGTGTGTGTGTAGGTATTTAGGTATAAATTTAAAATATTTTAAAAATGAAAAAAAAAACAAAAAAGATTACGTACGATTTTGATCGAACCTCTTATACCTTCGCTACTTTCTCCAACAAAAAAAAATTAATTTTCGATATACGAATGATTTTTTCCATTTTTGTATAAATACTGTAGAATGACTCACATAAGGTACACAAGAAAATGAGCAAAAGTAAAAAAATCCGGAAAACCTGAGATTTCCTCTTAATTTCTTTGATCAACTTTCAATACCAATACTACCTGAAAGAGTTTCAACTTTCAGTTTTTAACGATATCTTGATGTTTGCGACCATAAGAATATTTATGACAGGCTTTACGCAGACGAACAGCCGAATGGATGCGTATGCTTAAATCGATTGAAAATTTCGTCATTTCTGAAGATTTTTTCTGAGGATGGTTGCAAACTTTCTGACAAAATTAACATACGCCCGGCCTTTGGTGTACTAGTAAAGTGAAACTAAACGCCAACATTTATTGCACGTCGGGGATAATGGATCATGAAAAAATCCCTGGCTAATTCATACAAGGATAATAGAAACTAATACAGAAATGCAGGAACAGTTGTCAAATTCAAAAATCGTATTTCAGAGCCAGTGATGGTCACTATTATGAATAAACTGATATTTTCATAATAAACTTTATTGCGGCCATATCGCTTTTTATTAATCTTAAAAAGAAAAAAACATTGAACAAAATTATTTTAATCTTCCTATACAGATATATCTAGCCAACCATGTGTATATATATTTCTATATAACTTGCAAACTGATTTATGTAAAAATACCACAAAACTGGTACGGTTTTCTCGCATAATCATCATTACCATCGTGATCACGATCTTTAAGAAAGACATAGAGAGATTGAGAGTGACAGAAAGAGATAGATAGATAGAGAGAGAGATAGAGAGAGGGAAAGAGGGAGGAAAACAAAAAACGCATAAAAATGTACAACTTATTTAAAAACAACAACAATATGAATATAAACGCATGAAATATTTTAAATATTTACCCAAAAAAACCCCTCCTCACACACATTTATGCCGACGTAATTAATACGTTAAGTCATTAAACATGTTTTTATTTATTTATACATGCGATACAAAAAACAACGTAAGCATTATTAGACTAATAATCGGGAAAAAAAAATTGAAAAACGTCACAAACCACATATAATTCACGGTTAGACATGTAAATACATGTATAATATTACTCGTTTATTTATTTATACAATAGCAATACACATATGTATGTATGTAATATGTATACCACTGCACAAACGTACATATTTAAAACAATAAATAAATTAACCCTTCTTCGTGTTATCGTTTGGCTTTAACTTTAATTGTTAATTTTATGTATTAGTAACCTCACTAACAGCAGTTGGTTCATTTTTGGGGGCTTGTCTCTTTTATAAGCCAGTGTGAGTGTAATTCTCTCTATACGCAATTATGGCTGAACAAACTTATGGCCTACACAAATAAATAATAGCGCACATTCATATGTATATATACAAAATCATAAATATATGCATGAGCATATATATATATATATATATATATATATATATGTACATTGCACAAGTTTAGTGGGTCGTTAGACCAGTCATAAAATTGAAAAAAAAAATCATTATTTTCTTTAAAAAATCACATGGTGTGTGTTTTCGACAAATTTATAACCTTTTTCTATATTAACAAAAACTCTCTCTCTCTCTCTCTCTCTCTTTTTTTTTTTTTTCTTTTTTGTTTTTTTCTTGCTATAGTGTTGTTTTTCTCTGAAATGATTCATGAATTGTATTAATTGCGAAATTCTACAGTTTTAGCTTTTCTCCAATAGTAATAACTTCTCTTTTTCTTCATCTCTTTCGCCATCGCTTTGTCTCTTTTATTAAATAATTGAAAAATTTTCTGGTATAATTTTCAATTATAAATCTAGGAAAATCTATAAATTTTTTCCTTCTGCAATAGCTAAACCTAATCACCTTTTAATTATCCTTTGCTTATCTGCTTGAGACTACTTGAGCTTTTTAAAATTAACAAAAAAAATTAAAATATACTTTTTTCGCTTTATTAAACCGGCTGAGTTTTAACTCTTCCTTGCTATTGGGGAACTTTTTCATTTTTTTTTTATACTCTTTAAACAACTAGTAAGATAATAGGGCGCATGTGCTTAAAAAAAAAAAATCAAGAGAACGTATTCAGAACTTCTTTCTGTTGGATCCTCGAAACTTTATTAAAAATTTATAATGAAAGAAAGATTAAAATTGTAAAGAGAAAGGCATCATAACTTCATAAGAAGGAAGAACATGTATAATCGTTGAATCGTTGAATCGTTGAATTATCTATCATCAATATTCTCGATGCTCAACGCAAATATAAGAAAGCCGTACGTTGACTCCACCGCATATGAAATTGTCACAGCTAAACTCAATTTTTTCACAGATATTTTTGATAGCATGGAAAAAGGGTTCCTTCTATGAAAGTTCGCAAATTTAGGACATGTGTTTGTCATGGCTATATCATTAGAAAAAGGGAAAGATAATAGTACACCATAACGTCACTATAAAAAAATCGAATGTTCTCGTTATTGACTACCGAACTAAGACAAATATTAATTTTAAATAGAATGCTTCCCAGCAACACAACACAACATGACACTTTGACAGAGAGATCGGTCCACAATACACAATGATATTCTTACATACATAATCCAGATGGTGAATGTTTATCTGAATATGCCTTCCTTGCACATATAAACGATAGCAATCTGTGATGATTGAAATTTTTACTTCCAATATTTTGCATGAGATCGTTAATTGTTTGTATATCGTCTTGAATTTAAACTTCTGTAGCATTACGTATGTACAATCGCATTGATAATGCATTAGCATATGTATAATTTTCTAAGACATTCTTTTAAATCAATCTTCATTTCCTTTCATAAGGATGTGCGAAAAGAAATGTAAAAAGCGGCCTCAGAATTTATCAAATCAAAATACAAAAATAAAACTAAGCTAAAAACAAAAAAAAAAAAAAATAGATGAATTAAATAATGTATAAAAAATTCTGAATGGTAAAGCAGAGGTTTGCCAGAATAAAAGAGATAATAACCAAAGCTATTTCCATTGACATTTTCACATTACTTGATTTGATTTTACGAAAAAAAAAAAAAACAAAATTTAAGCTAAAGTTAAAAGGATTTATAATTTTATAATTTCCTCGACTTACCGTCATATTATGCTCAACAATCTTTTCAAAGGAACAAATCATATAAACAACATAAGCGCGTACTAACTCCCATGTTGTTTTGCTCTTGAATGCCGCAAGCGGGTCATTGAAGCCAACGTCTAACGGATCCCGTTGAGGATTTTCTGGAATTTTTGGCGCTGGCGGCCGAAAGCGGGCTTCTTTCTTAGGGATTGCTTTCTCTTCTTCAATAGTCGCAGCTGTTACAGTTTGCGATTTAGCCGCATCGGTGTGCACTAACTGCCTGTGATTGAATACAGGCGCAAATAGGACCTTAGCTAAAAGCTGCTTCTGCTGATGAGGTTGAAAATATTGATTATGGTTTTGTTGCAATTGATGACGATGATGATGAAGACGTCGCGACGATGACGAAGTAGATTTTAACTCGCTTTCATTATCATTATCGTCAGAAGCATCATAACTTAATTGGCGAACGCTTGACGGCACCTTCGAACCAATAAAATAATAATATTTACCGCCGACACCAAGGCTGCTACTGTTGCTGCTACTGCCGCTATAACTATAAACTAAGTTTGTTGTTGAACGTTGAGCACAAATGGTACGCAAAAACGCCATTACACACACACGCAGCTCGGGTATGCTCTTTTAAATTATTTGATAGGTGCTACAACGATCTCAGGATAATTTAAAACACACAAAATTATGAGAAGATTTTGTTCATTTAACAATCCTAATCTATATTGAAATACTTTCGCAGCCGCGCACTTTGGGAAATCGAAAGAAGTTTAATTGTTCTTTTCAATTTGTGTCGTTTTGTACGATTTTTTACAAAATGTTCTTTACAGCAGCTGACACTGAAATGAAATGAAAGAAATGAATATAAAAACAAATTGCACAATTTTTGTTTTTTATATAATAACAAATATATATATATGTATGTACATATACATATATATATATATATATATATATATATATATATATATATATATATATACATAATATACATATATATATATATATATACATAATATAAATATATATATATATATATATACATAATATACATATATTGTTTTTTTTTTTAATATTTTTAAACTGATTTCATAACAATTTCTTTTTCAATGGTAACGCCAACGCAACAAACGCTTTTCCATTTGCCCCGAATTTTTTATATTCGAAATAAGTGCGCCGATGAGCACTTGAAGACTCTCACTTATTAACATTGTTAGGAACACAAGAGAACCGTACGCATTATACAGCAATTCAACTTCATCGTGTTTTAAAAAATCGTTAAAATCCTTTCTTTTTATATAAGCAGGCCGTATCCATTCAAAAATTTTATCAAAGCGTTTATTATCAATTTTTTCTCCTAATAATGAAAATTCGAATTTTCTCAATCTCTTATAAAAAAAATTTTTTGTTTATTTCCGTTTTGTTTCGAACTTTGAGCTTTTTTATACATGTCTTTTCTTAGTTTATATCGTAATTTTTATTACATTTATTTAAAATAAAAATCGGTTTATACTTTGTTTATTTATTTATTTATTTATTTATTTTTTTATTTTTTTTTTTTTGGAATATTCATTACCAATATTTATATTTTTCCTTCTTTGACACTTAGATACCAGTCATATCTATTATATATAAGAAAAAAATTTCCTTCAATATTCTCTTTCTAACTTATTTCCATATTGTTCCCTTTCTGTTTTATTATTGTTTCGTTTCATTTCATTGCGTTACATTTCAACCCATTAATTACCACAAGAGTACAATAATATCTCTGCATCGGTTCTTCTTTCATTCACTCTTCCAATCGCTTTGCCACTCTCGTTCCTATAGAGATTTGTTTTATTGTTTTCAAATCTCCTCAGAAAGAATTTTTTCTTTTTTTTTTTTTTAAGAAAACCACATATTTTATCTACACTCAAACTTTTATACATTATTTAATTAATAACAAATAATACGATTTCAATTAAACTTAACTTTGGCATTATTATTAATAAAAATGAGTGCTTAAGTAAAATAATCAAACACATCTCGTGTGACTCTTAAGTAAAATGTTACTATAGCAATAGAAATTGGAGATGTAAATTTCATCATTCATTCATTGTATGTATAAAATGCAAAGTTGTCCTCTTTACGCCTATTAGTAAGTGTGTACGTATGAATATTAGATTGATCCAAAATTAAACTTTTTCAATTTGTAATCAATAACGATAAAGAAATTTATAAAAATTGTAGAAATTATGATCGATTTTTATACGCTGATTAGAAAAACAACTTAACCGCATTTTGACCTTGATGCGAAAAGCGGTCACAAAATTAAAGGTGGAAGCCATTGTAAAATTCTTTAAAAAAGAAATTATTTTAGACAACTTTAATAATATTTTAGGAGTTTGGTAAGCACGCATTTAAGTACTAAAAGAAAATATCACAAAAAATTTCCACACACTAACGCCAGTCTCAAGAGCTATCAATTGATTTGACAAACTCTACGGCACACACTCTAAATTTTAAAAAATCTTGATATTGTATAAAATTCGAATGAAGAGATTTAAAATTCGGAAAGAGGTCCTTCTGGGAAAAGCGCATTTAAAGTTTCGAAATGTGTTATAGATGTTTGTGTGTTTTATTATTATTTTTTTTTTAAATAACTTCCTGATAAATTTTTAAAAGTAATCATTTTATATATTTATATATATATATATATATATGACCAATTACTCAGGGATTACGTCCCCTATTCGTGTAACACGGTAACAGTCAGAAAGAAATCATGAAAGAGAAATAGTCACTGAAAGTAAACCGCGACCGCATGGCCATAAAATTACCTGGTTCATGCCCAAATATATATAAAAGCTGCCACTTTTAGCGAATATGTCGAAGACAGAATTGTACATTTAGAATTTTACCTGTTGCCACAAATGGCAGAGAAAATCGAGGGAGAATTTATAATTCTTTAGACGAATTGTTAATTAACATCAAAAAGTTTTATCTTAGCCAACGTACTGAAAGCTTTCGAAACGCTCTCCGCCTTATATCTACTTATGCTAGGGGATTAATAAAGTTAGAAATCAACAGGCGGCACGTTACGTTGTAACTTCGCAGAAGTGCCTTATTTAACACAATTGGGCTTCTTGCATTACATGCTTGGGAAATACTTACGAAATTTTCTAAGTAATGAACATTTTCCCCGATTTTTAAAGGATTCAAATTTTCAATTAATTCAATAAAAAAAAAAGTTTTCAAAAAATATACAATGATTTCCCCATCGTCCCTTTGAATGTATTGGCAAGGACTCTAGACTGTTTGCTTGCACACAAGCATTAGCATGCATTCTAATAATTTTTGCTTGCACAATGTTTATTCGTTAAAATCATTTAATAACTTTTGAGTTTCAGTTTATCACATGCGACGTTCAATTGGCAATTATCGAAGAGCTATAAGCTATAAGCATAGAAAACTATTTACTTATGTCAATTTTCAAGAACCTTAAGTCGTTCACTCAACTATCTCTCCCTTTTTTTTAGTTTCTTGTATGGTACATATTAGCTGAAAATTTAGATATATTTAGTTCAAAAAGATAACTAATCATTGAAACAGCAAGTAAGGTAATGTAATGGGAGATTTAAATCATAATTTCTTAGAAAAAAAACAAGTAATAAACTTATACTCGGTCGTGACCGAATCCATTTTACTTATCACCAGCTAAAAAAAAAAGACGGGAAGAGAAATAAAGTTTCATACTCTATAACATTAAGTGGACAAAGATGTTTACACTACTTCTCGCATAGGCGTTTCTTTTGAAGAGTTTAGATCGTTTTCAATTCTTTTGCAAATCTTAAATCGATTGCTGCATTTTCGCGACCTTGAAAATGTTTAGCACACACATTAGACACTCGGCCAGACAGACATGCTTAAATCGGCTTAGAATTTGATGATGGCCAAGATAAATATTACATATATTTTATTGAGCATCCTTTTGAATGTCACAAGCCTTGGGTAATGGGTATAAAAATTGAAAATCAAAAACTATATCATATATCATAGAAGACTGGTTACGAAAAACAATTTTCTTACTTTCTTAATGTAGTGTGTTATACAAGAAGCCTTTGCCTCAAACAAAAAATACAAAATAATTGTCAAAATTGAGGGATATGCTCAGTTTGTCAAAACGTTTGCAACGCCCAGTAAGAAGCGTCAAAAATCCTATAATGTATATATATTCTTGATCAGTATCAAATCGTGAACCATTTTCAATTTGAATATATTGATTGGCATAATTTCAGACCAACATTTATTTAATCTAAACGGCATATTATTGTTAAATGTTCCCTCAAAAAAATTCGGATTTTTACATATTCGCCTTGTCGTAAACAATTTAGAGACTTTTCTTGTTATTCAAAACAATACTGATATTGAATATATGGTATAGGCCATACGCTAATTAGGCCATGACTTATTAAAAAACCTTAAAAATACTTATTCGATTTCATTGATTGATATCGATTTTCTTCTACGACCATCTACATATGATAAATAACAGAAAAAGATACTAAATGCTTTGCAGGCAATCAAAAGAACATATATACGAATATATATGAATATCTTTAATCAATTTCGAACGCTTGAGTGGGAAATTTAAACAAATTAAATAAATAATCACTTAACGCCTGAAAACATTTTGAATGTGAATTGAAAATTTGAACAAGGATAAACTTATTAACACTCTGCTAAATGTTAAAACATTTTATGGAAAGCATTTCTACACATTTTTATTGCAAATTGTTTATAAAGCATGTAATCCTCCTCACTCTCATTGCATCACTTCAAAATCTCTTCCTGCCGCTCTCTATTCGGTCTTCTCTTTTCAAATGTTACACAACATTTATTTTCACAATTCAATAAGAGACTGAGAGAGAGAGAGAGACAGAGGGAGAGAGAGAAAGATTATTAAATAGTTCAAATAGCTAAACGCACAAATCCACATTATTTTTTCCAACTGAAACATCCATTATGTGCGTGAAAATGCCTTATTCTTCATAGTGAGAAGAAGAACAAAAAACAAAAACAAAAAGTTTATTGCATAACATCCAAGTAGACTCCTTGTAGTCATTGATTTGTTATAGAGAATTGTTTTTTTTTTTTTTAAGTTAGTATATATTATATAAATACATTAAATTACTAGAGATATTGCATTAAGAGCGAAGGTGAGGCGGCATTCATACATGAAATCATGTATAAAAACTGTTTTATATTTATGTACTTATGCCTATGCATGTATATAATACATATATGTATGTGTATAAAATTTTTTTTATTTAGCTCCTTTACACACACTGAGAGAAATCTACGTAAAATAAAAAAAATAAAAAAAAAAAAGCGCAGAAAGATACTAAAGGAAAGAACTAAGTTAAACTAACTAGAATAAACAGCTTAGAGGTTATATTATGAATTGTGTGTACATTTATATCTCAAAATGATTTTAAGAAATTTCAAGATGGCAGCGGCGCAAAAAAGTGAGAATTTATATATTATCCAAAAATTTATAAATTTTTAAATACTTATTTCTTCTTACTTTTTAACAAAAGCTTAAGAAATAAACCCATTCAAAGTTGACACCCTTTAACGCGCTCGCGCACGCACGCACGAAATATTTGCTTTGGCATAAGTGATTTTATTAGAGGCGTACGAAGAGACGGTATAATATAATTGCAATACAATTAACAAAAAAAAAAAAAAAACGAAAGGAGCAGTAGGAAAACATATATGTAAACTCAACATGCAAAACGTAAAGGACTAGCAGACGGTTTGACATTCCAGAGCATTTATGAGAAGAATACTAAAAGAATAATAAAAGCAAAATTTACGCCTTCTTTCGTTTAAAAAATGGCAACCGCTTAACGGTGTTGCTATGTTTTTAGAAGCGATTAAGCGCTTATCGTAGACGATTCTGTCACCCGGTAGAAATTGAGACTGGATAACCACCGAATGAATTTCGAAAAGAATCTAAGCTTGTCTGCCCATCCGTCCCACTCGCATTGTTGCGTTCAACTTACAACATTTTTATTATAATCTTTTGATAAAATTTCCTATACCGACATTTTTTGGTCCAACGACTAAAGCTTTTGAAAATGATTCGAACCGGTCATTTTATTGCATCTCTTCCCGTCTAGTGTCTCATTTTGAAAACCGTTGCCGTTGAATAATCGTATTAAGCGACGTACCATACAATATTTAAATAAACTATAAATCGTTTTACTAGTTCTTCAAAAAAAAAAAAGCGGTTCTTTAGAAAATATAAACAGAAAATCAAACCTTAAATCTAAGCCAAAGCTTTAAAATAATAATAACTGCACCAATTATCGAATGGTTAAATGGTTTATACAAAAATAGTATCTCATAGATACATGTACAACAACTTTCTGCTTAGACAATGAGTCTGTATAACGAAATATCTCTATAAAATCATCAAATTGATATAAAATTCATTCAACTTCAGCAAGGCTCGTTATGTTACTAACGTTTACTTTGCAGTTTCTGTACGCCTTTAACAAGTATGTAAAGGGTTTTATCGGCAATAAGAAGAAAGATGGGAGATGTTGTTTTCCATCGAACTGAACTTTTCTTAATACAAACGAAAAGGTTTTCAATAAATTTCGATTCCCCATTGCTTTCATTAATTACGGATATAAGATCTGAAAGAAGAAAACTGATATTTAATTGCTAGATAAAGTAAGAGTTCAGGGCTGAGCGTCACGCTCCAAAACATATTAAAAAATAGATCTTTTTTGGAGTAAGTTTTTCCAAGTTTTTTAGAATTTAAGATGATACAATACCAAAAAGGAAAAATTTAGAACAAAATTTTCTACTACAATAGCAACAGAGAGTCAAACAGAAGAAATTAGCACTGATTATGAATGGATTTTTTTTCTTTTAAATATGAACACTCATTTAGGGGATGTCATCTATTCGTGTACTACGGCGACGGTCAGAAAATAGTGAAGGAAAGGAAAGAGATAATGACGCCCAACGCTTAAAAAACATTTGATAAATTCGATATGCCCTCTTTAATGGATTTAAAAATGCTTTTTTAATACACATACATTTCATGTCCGACAGTGATAATAATAATATTGACAGAAAAAGACTCTGAGTAATTTGCCTTAAGATGTTTAAAAGCATATAAAATGATATCTCTTATTCTCTAAAATGATTTAACAAAATCCCAAAAGGATTTCTGCAATAATATGTCTTTTCTAACTTAAAAGAAAAAAAAAACCTATAAAATTCTAAATATACTAAGCCATTACTTATGAAACGCGTGCTTACGGTATTGATCTTTGAAAAAATATCCATATTCTAGCACGTTTAACGCAAAAAAGAAAAAATAACCGATCTATGTCCAATCTTTTTTCTTTCTTTCTTTTACGACTCTCTAATGGCGACCATGCAAGCAAGGTAAATGAATAAGAAATTAGGTCTAGACATTGTTGAAAAATAAGAGCACGTTGACCATAAACAATAACAACTTCTCAAATATGTAAATTAAAAAAGCAGAGCATATCTTTCTCTCTCTCTCTCTCTCTCAATCTTTCCGAATTTATTATACTTTGAGAGTAAATCAAATACATGTGCACATTCTACTCTAATGCTCTCACAAAATTCTCTCTCTCACTCGCTCGCTGTCGCTCTCTCTCTCTCTCTCTCTCTCTCTCTCTCCATCTGTATGGAAACCACAACAAAATTCAAATTACATAAGTTTATGTCTAAGAAAAGAAAATAATAATACAGAAAATCAATTGTTGTTGTTTCGAAACTCGAGCAACTTATTTAAAAAAATATTTTTATGTTTGTTTAATATTCATTTTCAAGATGAACGACCTTTAAAGCAAGTTTTAAAATTGATCACAATTAAAATAAAAAAATTAAAATAAATATAAAAATTATATGCGTTATTATTACGCATTTACATATTTTCTAGGCAGTGTATCTCACATGTCCACATGTACATATATACAAAAGTACCTATTTATCCACACATGTACCAATTTATGCTCACATAACACCCTGTTCATGAAAAAGAATGAAATTGAAAAAAAAAAAAAAATAATAAAAAAAATCACTCCTTGCCTCCGTCTTTTATGAATCGTTCAATTTCATTTAGTTGTGTGTTGGTACTCGTTTTATTTTTTTCTTTTTCTTCAATTCCTTTAACAATATGTGCTCTTATTTTTGCTTGCTTTCATTTGCTCGCCTCTTATTTTATTTTATTTTTTTTTTGTTTTTCATTTTATATATGTTTTTTTCAATGATATTATTTTCTTCTTCTATATATTTTTCAGATTGCTAGTGGTTATATAACATTATATGAAAAAGAAAAAAAAAGAAGATGAGTCCTTTTTAATCTTTTGCTTTCCGTATAGACATTCTCTTCATGCCTGCTTAACACATTTATTGATTTTTGATTACGGGTGTAGAGGTTTTTTTTTAGTAAATTTTTTCACTACTTTTATTATTAGATCATAATTCTCGTTATGCTTGCGCGGATCAATTGTGTGATTTTATTTTTCTTTTTAATTTTCTTATTTATAAATATTTTGCTTGCGCTGAACAAAGTTAAGTGAACGACCAACACAGACGGGTTCCTCGTGTTTAATTAAAGGCTTGATTAAAAAACTAAATTTCTCTAAATCGGCTCAATTACAGATTAAAACGAAAGTAATTTTTTTTCTTTTTTTTAGAAAATGAAGAATTTTCCGCTGCTAGTAGTTCTCCCACACATGGGTTAATATATTTCCACACACCCGCAATTATCCAGAAATTATAAATGTGTTGGTGTGTTAATGGTGGTGGTTTGTCTTCTATAGCACTATATGTATATATGTATATGTATATACACATATTTATATATATATATATATATATATATAAATATATATTGTCTAGTCTACATTTTGGTTACAATTTTTTTAGTTTTATACCTTAACCGTTTTATTTTGTCATAAGAAGAAAATCTTTTCTTTTATTTCTTGCTATATGAATATCACACACTGGGGAAGAAGAATAAGAGAACAATCACACGTCGCGCGTTCAACGGTGCACGACAAACTGCTGGCTACACTGAACTGAACTGACACGATACGACCGTTTGAATGAAACTGAACTGAAACGAACCGCATAAAATTGAGTTAAATTATGGCTAATATAGCATATATATATATATTATACCTATATATCTATATATACATACATTTCAGTGGCTGCGCAAAAAATACTAAAGAGAATTTTCTCCACATTACATACGTAACAGAATGTAGCAGAAATTAAATAACACAGAAAAATATATTTGTTATCCAATAGTTATCCGGAGATGCTGAATTTTAGATGCACAATATTTTAATTCTTTCCTTCTCACCAAACATTACGGCGGCAAATGATCGTCAATTTATAGCTTAACAACAACAAAAATGTAAGAAAGGTTTAAAAATAGGATCACATTCTCTTTGCTTCTTTTCTCTCTCTCTCCCTCTGCTTCTCTCGCTCTTTTTTATTCTCATCTATCTCTCTCTCTCTCTCTCTCTCTCCCTCCCTCCCTCTCTCTCTCTTTCGCTCCTTTAATTACAATTTTTTTTTTTTTTTTTTATCATACACATAAGCAATCATGAAAATGTAGTTAAGTAGGTTTTGATGAATTACTGCTAAGCTCTTTTTTTTTTTCGTACAAACGCGTACCCTACCCTTACGCTTTTATTTACTATTTCGCTCTTTCATCGGTTTTATTTCACGTGTTTGAGGCAGAATGGTTAACTGCGCGGATAAATTATTGTCTATATAAAAATTCAATGACACATATGGATTTAGTTGGGAAATCAATTTGATTTATTAAAAACGGTTCTCTCCACTGCATGTTATTTCTCGCTCATAGCATACATATATAGGGAAATAAAGCGTCGGAAGTAAAATCCAATTTTTATTCCTTTTTGCTTAAATCCAGTTTTGCGTTTGCTCAGCTCTAATAAAAATGAAAATGTAAAAAACAAGTTCTGAGTCGAATTTTAAATGCCTACCACGTCAACCACATTTTACATACAAGAATTAATTGTTTAGCATTTTGCGTTTTTTTGCTACATCTCCGGTAAGCGCATCAATTAATGCTTGTAGATATGATGTAGATGTTGGTGGAAAATGTTTATGCAAATAAATTTACCAACGAAAATGAAGACGATTTGCAACTAGTTTACCTATTCATAAAAGCATAAAAAAATGATATTTCTATCTCACTAATCTAACTAAGTAAGTTTTTTACTTTCTCTTATTAGCTTTTTTTGCAACTTTTTTGTTTTTTTTAAGCTTTCATTTAAAGATTGACTCTTTTTGTTTCTTGTCTTTGCCTCTAAGAATTTATCTCATTAATCGGAAAAGTAATTATTATAATAATAATAAAGTTTGAATTTTGTTTCTTCCAATGGTAAGCGATTTTATGAAGTATTACAATCTATTCATGATGTCAAAGGCAAATGGAATTAATTAATGTATTTATGCTTCTCTCTAGGAAGCATATTTAGTACAGAAAATAATTCACTCCACTCATATAAACTGATTGACTATAAATAGCCCAAATATCGACTATACTCAAAAATTAAAAATAATAATTAATTAAGATTTTTTCTTTTTTAATATAACATAATAAAAGAAGTAAAAAGAATACAGTGGGCCGTGGTCCACCATTAAATACCTTCCGCCAGTTCGCTTACTTTGTGTTGATCCAAACCACGCCGATGTACCAAATCTCATAAAATAATTCAAATTGCGGTCTGTAAGGTGCCCATAAGATCCAATATTCCTTAACCCGATCCATTTCAAACTTTGAGAAAATATATATCGCATATTATTCTATTACAAATAAAAGTTGGAACCCCTTTGGAAACCTTTTAATGAAATGCAAAACGTTGACTTGAAGACTTAAAGATATGGTTTTAATTTACTTCGTAAATCGGAAGTGACGTGGTGGACGATTAACACATAAATCGTAAAGATTGGGGAATATAACGGGGCGGGTGCATAATACGTTAATAATAATAAAACAAACATTTAAATACAATTAATATAAAGAAAAAAATGAAGCACACACAACAAAACTACATATAATCTCAACTAATCTCTACCTTTCTTAAGGTTCAGAAAACTTCATGTTTAATCTGTACCTCTATCCCTCGGCACGGCACATAATCATTTCTCGTTGATTCGTTAATTTTTGGTAGAAGAAGAAATTACATTAATAAAAGTTGTGAGTGTTTGATTTAATTGAAACCGAATCAGTTTTTATAGATAAAAATGGCACATGTATGCTTCGAAAGATCTCTGATATCTATGCTATTTTCGTATTTTTCCAAAGAATTGATAAACATGATTTAACTTAAAAATATCAATAAAAATTTGGAATATATTCTTTCATAAATAAATATAATCTCTTGTCTGATATATAATAAAAGACAAACAAAAGGAACCTTGAACGGATAACCAAGCGCCTACTAACCATACTTGCATGAATTATGATTAAATGCCTTCTACAATATGCTTACTAACCACGCTAATAGTATATTAGTATACAATTTACGGTTTTTGAGTTAATTCATAAGTCTTGCATTGTACAGGGTGCCTCAAAATTCTTGCAAGAAAGTTTACTATTAAAAATTCATGATTCATCATGGGGACTTTTGCCGACGGCTTTGCAATTAGCAAAAGTATTATTTAGCTACTGTTTTGTTTCATTTGATAATAAAAAAAAAAAATAATGGCGGTCTACTTTTAGGCTAACTTATAAAATTAAATAAGTAAAAGTAAATAATAAATAAGTTTAGTTCGCGTATTTTCCAAAACATCTAGAGGAGCCTGTTTTTTACAAGAGAAAAACGATTTTTAAAGAAAGACTAGTTAGCCAATTTTGACAATTTATCAATATGGCATGAAAGATTGGCGGCTTTGCATTTAAAAATCTGTGTTTTGTTGACGGCTTTGTGCTTTTTTGGTCTGTTATTTCACAGAATTGAATCCCTTTTGTCGGTAAAGTTGGGTAGTTGGTCTGTTATTTAACAGAATTGAACCCCTTTTGTCGGTAAAGTTTGGCATTTAACATAGCTGATTGGCTTTGCCATTTAAGTTCTTAAGTTGGGCTTTTAACCATTTATTTATTATAAGCGACTCTGTGCTTTGCCTTTCAACAGGGAATTTAGCGAGGACTTTGTTTAAAAATTATCACGATTTAATTCTAAGCTAACTTGTAAAATTATTATTATTATTGTTATTATTATAAATTTAGCCGGAGCATAAATTTTTTTCTCTTAAAGCGCTAGCAAAAAAAAAAACTCTACCGCACTTGAGATTTGAACCCACGACATTGAGTTGATAACTTGTAAAATTAAATAAGTTCGCGTATTTTCCAAAACACTATATATACATCTAGAGATGATGATAGAAGAGGACATGATGGAAGAGCAAAAGCGACCAAGTCAAGGAAAAAGAATCGGAAACAATCAGGAAACCATTAAAAAGAATAACAAATTCTTTTATATATATTTTTATATATATTAATAAAGCTATTTTAAAGCTCTCTACAGGTCTAACTACTGTAAAATTTAAACACTTTTATTAATAGTAAGAATCAGCAGATTTTGAGGACAGTATGAGATCATAAGTTTTATGGTGGCGGATATACAAGCTCTTGTCAATATCACTTTTTTTTATATACTATTGTCATATATTGAAATTTTGTATTGGAAATATAGTAACACATTAGTAGGATTACGGAATAGTACGGAATAACATATAACATATATGGGACATATGGCCTGTTAGACTTTGCTGACGAACAGTACTCGCTTTGCAACAGGTAGGCTTCAGTTCTGCAATCAATCGAATTTTGGCATTACACTGTATAAAGCTTCTTGCAATATTCAACTTTCAATTGATGTCCTAGGGATCCTAGCAGCACTCTCTCGAACTACTTGCGAGAAATTAAAAATTTACCTTTTGTTGTTTCATTTCTCCATAAAAAAAAATTATGTTTGAGAATTCCTTTACATTCACCGTACTCGATCCGCTCTTAAGAAAGTTTCTTTCTTATACTGCTTTGCCAATTGAACAGACTTTCTTGCTTTGCATTCTTAACAGAATTTTTAACATTGCTTTGCCAGTTTAACAGAGTTTCTTACGAGTGCGTTGCCAATTTAACGGAGTTTCTTGGGGCTGCTTTACCATTTTAACAGAGTTTCTTACGAGTGCGTTGCCACTTTTTTCTATTAAGATTTTTTATTGACGTTTTTCTTTATTTATTAAGAACAACTCTGTGCTCTCTTCATTCTTCAAGCATGCAATTTTTTTTTATTTTGGTGTAAAAGAAAAAACCAGCTAACGGTTTCTTTCCTTAGTGATAATCAATTGCTGTTCGCAGCGTATAATTTTTGTTTTTGTATTTATCAGCGAAGATGAGCGGTATATTCATTTTGGCAAAACGTTTGCAACGCCCAGAAGGAAACATCAAAGACTTCGCATGTATATGTATTCTTGGTCAGCGTGAAATCTTGAATTCAAGTTCAAGTATCGAAAATTCTTATTATCAAAATATATTACTATACGTATTTCGAGTTTATGTTAAATCAATTAGAAGATCTTTGTATTATGTTCAAATGCACTTCAAAGTTTTCAAATGAAATTTGAAAATATATATTTATGAAACCAAAACTCTAAGCAATCCTTTTTCTTTGTTTAACTACATCATTTAAATCGATCTCCATGTTTCTTCTTTTAAGCGCATTCTTCTTCTTTTTTTATTTATTATATATTATTATATATTTATTATCAACAAATTTTATTTGCTTTTACATTATATTTGCAATGATAATGCTTTTTATATTTTCGATAATTTTGTTTCTTCTTAAAGCACGTGTTTTTGTTTATAATTACTCTCATTTCCTTACTTTTTCTTATCAAATAATATTATAACTCAACATATCTTTGTGTTTTCGTCTTTGAACTTATTTATCCAAAGAAAGTAATTAGGCTTAATTTTGTCTTCGCCGCAAAGCTTTATTGACTAAATAACGGCTTTAGTCCATATACTTATTGATG